AGCAGGAGAATGCACTGGAAGCTAGCGTGGGGAAGGCAGGGATTCCTGTAGAGACGGTGGCAATGCTCTGAATGGAGGTCAAGAGATGAGAAGGACCCAGTGATGCATATGGCCAGGGAAACAGCCCAGGCAGAGGGGACAGGAAGTGCAAAGGCCCTGAGGCAGGAGTAATACCGCGTTTTTAAGGAATAGAAAAAGGAGTGGACGTGACTCTGGGCCTATTTCTCTTTTCTGGCTTTACTCACTGCCCAGGGGTGGTTATCCAATCCTGCGGCTTCAAAGCCATCTGCTGCTTGTACGACTGATGATCCCCAAATGCTTTTCTCCAGCTGAGCCCCAGACTCACACCACCAACCAACATCTCCTCTTGGATAACTGTCATGGTTTGAATTATGTCCCCCAAAAAATGTGTGTATCAATTTGGCTAGGCCATGATTTCTGGTACTGTGTGATCTTCCCGTATGCTGTAAACCTGCCTCTGTGATGTTAATGAGGGAGGATGGGTGGCAGTTGTGTTAGTAAGGCAGGACCTGATCTACAAGACTGGACTGTGTCCTGAGGCAATCTCTTGAGATATAAAAGACAGAAGCGAGCGGTGAGACAGGGTGACCTCATACCATCAAGAAAGTAGCGTCAGGAGCAGAGCGCATCCTTTGGACCGGGGTCCCTGCGCCGAGAAGCTTCTATTCCGGGGGAACACTGAAGAGAAGGAGAGCGACAGAGAGAAAAAGCCTTCCCCTGGAGCTGATGCCCTGAATTTGGACTTTTAGCCTACTTTGACTATGAGGAAATAAACTTTTCTTCGTTAAAACCATCCACTTGTGGTATTTCTGTTACAGCAGCACTAGATGACTAAGACAATATCTAACAGGCAAATGCTCAAAACTGACCCTCAATACTGTAGGCTAGGAGGAAAGAAGAGTTAGAAGTCAACCAGTCACACAATTGACTCAAGCCCAGTTTCCAACAAACTTATCCCGGATTGAATTCAGGTGAATGTTTCTATCAGCACCACCTGCCAAGGCAAATCCCTTTGGAGAAAGGTACCATCATCCAGGGCCTCAAAGTATCACTACAGATTTTCACTCTAAATGTCCATCAAAAACAACCATCAAAAACAACCAAGCCTGCAAAGGGCAAGAACCGACAAAAACAAAAAACAAAAAACAGACAATAGACCCAGACCCACCGGAGAGATAGAGGGAAGAGCTGCTTCTGGGGCAGGTGAATTTCACTGTTTGGACCACAAGGTGGCTGACACTCTCCTGCATTTCTGCAGCTCTTTGGGACTATTGTTGAATTTGACAGTTTTGTTGAGTTTGACATGAGAATCCCAGGAGAGCTTTTTAAAAATTCCAGTGCCTCTCCCCACCCCAAAACCCATTGCTATCAAGTGAATCCAACTCACAGCAGAACTGCCCTAAACAGTTTCCAAGCAGCAGCTGGTAGAGTCGAACTGCCAGCCTTCGTGGGGAGTAGCCAAACGCTTAACCACTACACCACCAGGGCTCTAAGGTGCTGCTGTAATTGCTCTGGATTAAGGCCCCACATTCATCTGTTTTACAGCCCCTGAGAGTCTGCAACCACAGTAAGCGTTAGGGTTCAGCCTCACCCCTGGACCTCAGAGCAGGCTCTAAACTCCGCACAGTGAGTCCCGTTTATCATTTCTGGCCTGGAGCTTGCATACTCTCATCAGTCTGAGGGTAACACTGGCCGGATTCAAACCTTTACTCTTCCCCGTGCGCCCATGAAATGTGGGCTTCACTGGGCCTCGCCAAGCACCAGTCTTCCATCTGTCAAATGGTGGTAACAATAAAATAAAAAATGAATTTTGAAAAACCCAAACCCGCTGCGGTCGATTCCGCACAACTGCCCCATAGCTTCCCCAAAGAGCGCATGGTGGATTCGAACTGCTGACTTCTTGGCTGGTAGCTGTAGCTCTACAAGCACTGCGCCACCAGGGTTTAGCGCCTGCTTTATCGAGTGGCCGGAGAGACGGGTAAATAAGCAGTCCTTTGCTAAGCACTACGCGTCGTGACGGGAGAGGGTCCACACCCGCATGTGGCCACCTGAGTCGTGTCCAGTCGGCCGCCTCCAGGCGGGTGGGAGGCGGAGAGGAGACCCGAGGAGCCGCGCCCGGAAAAAACTGACTGGAGAAACGACTGTCGCTCCGCGTGGCGCGCCGGGCGAGCAGCAGCCGCCTGGTAAACATGTCCTCCTCACTCGCCCCGCGGCGTCGTCTCTGACCGGCCGTCGAAGGCCGCGAACACCCCCGCCGCGTGTTTCCCACCGCCCTTCCCGCTCCGTGGCGACCCGGGAGTCCCGCGCCGGCCCAGGGAGGGTCGCCCGCTCAGCCGTCCCGTCGGGGCGCGGGACCTCTCTCTCCGATCCCCGCAGCTTGTCACTGGAAAGTATCAACGTGACCACACGCCGTCCAGCCGCCACCGGGGAGACCCGAGGGCGGGACTCTGATGCTGGCCGGCGAGCCCCGCTACAGCGCGCGCCAGGCCTGAGGAGACGCTCGGCCGCAGGCAGGGGGCCCGGCTAAAATGGCATCTCAGTCTCGTTTTACAAGCCCAAAATGAGAAACACAAGGGTGAGAGAAAACAGAGCTTTTCCGGCTCCAGGCACCGCTGGGATTCGAACCCAGGATCTCCTGTTTACTAGACAGGCGCTTTAACCAACTAAGCCACGGCGCCGCCCGCACACCCAACGCGAGAATTCATTTCTCATCACTATTGCTACCACCCGCTGTGCGCATGCGTACATGTCTTGCCGACAGCGTGCGCATGCGTGTTGTGGGATCCAGCCCTATAGGTTGTGCTGGAGTAGGGGTTCGGTCCCAGAGGCCGGAAGTTCAGGTGGCATTTAGGCTTCCGCGTGTCACGAGTCCGCGCCTGCGTATGGCCAGGACTGCTCGATCTGTGGGTGGGGTGCACGGGAGTTCTGGGACTTCTATCTGCAAGGCCCGGCGAGACCAGACCCATGACCTCAGTTGGGCCGCTTCTTCCCGGGGCCGTGAGCCGAAGTAGGATCCCGGGGTACTGAGGGGGTTCTCAGGGGTTCTGAGGGGTCTTGGGGCTCCGGGGGCCATGCGGGGCACTGACGGATCCTGGGCCTTCAGCGCCGCAGCGCCCTGGCTTTGGAGCACCAAAAGCGGATGTGCGGAGGTTTCTGCTGCCAGACCAAGGCGAGCTCCTTCTGCGTCTCCTCACGCAGATACATAATCTCAACACTTTTCAGAGGTCATTTGGGTAAAAATAAAACCAAACACTGTGTCATGGAGTGAATTGTGTCCCCAAAAAATATCTGTCCACTTGGCTAGGTCATGATTCCCAGTATTGTATGATTGTCTACCATTTTGTCATCTGATGAGATTTCTCTATGTGTTGTAAATCTTATCACTGTGATGTAATGAGATGGATTAGTGGCAGTTACATTGATGAGATCTACAAGATTAGATAGTGTCTTAAGCCAATCTCTTTTGAGATATAAAAGAGAGAAGGGAGCAGAGAGACATGGTGACCTCATACCACCAAGAAAGCAGTGCCAGTAGCAGAGAGCATCCTTTGGACCTGAGGTTCCTGCGCTGAGATGCTCCCAGACCAAGAGAAGACTGATGACAAGGACCTTCCTTGGGAGCCAACACAAAGAGAAAGCGTTCCCCTGGAGCTGACGCCCTGAATTTGTAGCCTACTGGACTGTGAGAGAATAAACTTCTCTTTGTTAAAGCCATCTGCTTGTGGTATTTCTGTTACAGCGGCACTGGATGACGAAGACACACTGCTTACCCAATCACTCAGCAGTTCCTCAGCTGGAAATCTTATGCACAGAAATGTAAGTCGGCAAAACAGATGCGTAAGAAGGTTCACGCCACTATTATTTTAATAGCAAAAACAGAAACAACCCAAGTGCCCATTACTGGGGGAGAAGAAAACATCTATGCATGTCTTTGTATATTTGAAGGCTTCAAAACCATCAGAGGAAAGAGGCCACTAACAGAAGGACTTCTATGCTCAAGGGAACCAAACCACTGGGAGGGTGTGGAGTGGATTTTGGATAACATATTCATACATGTAAATAAATGTATAAATACAGCCAACATGAGTCTGAGCAGTCACCTAGGGTTATCAATGCCCAAATAATGACTACCAGGTTATGGGGTTCACACACACACTGTATAAATCAATCCTGCAATTAAGTTTTTTAAACTAAGGGTCTTACTAATGACATTTAATGAAAATCAGGTGAGCCATGTCAACTGGTAAAGCAGACCCTTTGTGTTCACTAACTGAAAGCTTTGCTCTTCCTGAAGGAATTGATTTATGTGTGATATGCGATGGAAGCCTGAAGAGAGTTGCACGTATGCATGGGCATTGTGGAAATTGAGGAGTCTGGGGTGGAGAACGTGAAACGTCCTATGACAGAAACGCCCACCATCCACCTTTCTCTGCTCTGGACCCACCCCCACACCTTCCTGTGCTCTGGGCATGCTGCCATCTTGGAGCATTATCCAGGGAGGCACCCACAATGCCTTGCCACAGTACAGCCTCATCCACAGAGGGCACATTCTTGTAGTCGTTCAACAAATGCTTCCTCAGGGGCTGTTGGTGCCAGGCCCTGAAGGCTGCCTCAACTGCAACTCCAGACACCAAAAGAAATGGGAGTCCGTAACATGCTCCAAAAATGAGATCAATGAACACCAGGACATGAATATTAGAAATACCAAAAATGCTTCAAGAATTCACATACACACTTGTTTTCCAAAGAAATCTAGATTTATTTTGCACGAAAATGAAAAAGAAAATGTTTGCTCCCCAAGGGTGCTGTGGGGCTGAGGAGGCAGCAATGTGCTAAGCACCCAGCCAGGGCTTGGCCCCTGTCCCAGTCTGATGGGCCCATGCAGCTGGGCAGTGGCCCCAGAGAAAGGTCCCTGTAGAGCCCCACAACCTACGTGATGGGTGGCCCATACTCAAGTCACTCAAAGGGCCCAGGGGCCATCAGTCATCCTTGCATTTGCTCTCCCCGTTTGCCAGGGAGTCCTCCCTGTCCGATGATGACGGTGCAGCGTCTGCTGACAAGTGCCTTGCATCCATCCGGCAGAACACACATTTGGTGAATGTTTCAACAGAGGTGTCGCTTTCGTAGGTGGAGAAAGGCCTGTCACATCCTTCACACTGAAATGAAATATTTTAAAAGAGCAGAAAGGAAGTGCCGGTCAGAGGGGACCAAGGCATGCAGTTAGAATTCTCCCACCTGACCCAACTATCTCGGGCTGGGCCAAGGTGAGAGCTGTCTCCCCTGTCTGGTGTCTCCAACCCCACAAGCGTGCAAATTGCAAGCCATGGAGAGAGAATGACCACAGCTTCCTTTCCCTTTCTTCCCCCTCAAAAGCTATGCAGGTACTGCCAGGTATTACCTGAATAGCCTCATGTCCCCTGCCATGAGGATACTGTGTGCAGGAATGGTGAGCCACTTGCCCTTGGGGATGACCGAGAGTGAGTGTCCAAGCTCACCCACTGCTCTGTGCAGAGCACAATTGTGGGGCTGAGAGGCTGGGATCCCAGGGACACCCAGCTTTTACAGAGCCATGAGAAGCAAGCAGGCAAGATTTCCAAATAGCAGGGGTTTTAACCAGACCATGCAGGTGCTGAGTGGCCCCCTTTCCTCTGTCCCTGAGGACAGCAGGCCTGTTTCTGGCCAAAGCACAGCGAGAACATGGACATGAATGCCACTGCTCGCTCATCTCATCTGCTTCCCACAAGCCAGTGAGCAACCTCACAGGGTGGGGACTCTCAGGCCACGAGCAGCGGTCTCTCAGGGGTTCCCACCACAGCACAGTCCCCTGAAATGAGCCTGAAGGTGAAGCACCCTGCCCCGGCACTCCAACCCTCCATGCTTTGCCACCCTCGCCCAAAACAGGACACTCAGGCCTTGCTCCTGGGTTGATGTCCTGTGCTTCTCCCCAAGAGCAGGGAGCAGTGCAGCTGCCAGGCCTAGGAGCTGCCCACCTGGCATCCTGTGGTCCCGGGCACCTCAGGCCTGCAGGGGCAGGCCAGGCAAACCCCACCTGGGACAGGCCCTCTGGTAAATCTGGCCACTGAGGTTTCTCATATTGATTCAGAACAAGTCAAGTGCAGTGGATCATCTTAGCTACAGCTTCAGGTAGGTATTTTCTTTTCTTTCTTTCTTTGCAAGAAAGAAATCAGATCTTGAACCTACCTTATTCTACAGCACAACTTCCCATGGTCCAACACCAGAACAACGGGGCTTACCAAGGAGGCAGCTCTCAGGACCTCCTCAGTGACTGGGAAAGGACTAGGGCAAGCACTGCCCTGTAGCTAGGCAGCTTCCAGGGTCTAAGGACCACTATGATCACAAAGGCCTTGAGGACCAGCTGGCCACCACAATGAGGTCCCTGTAGTTTCCACCCCTCACCTCCCTGCCCTGCAGCTCTGGGAAGAGGCTCCTTGCCCGCTCTCAGCTGGGCCTTCTGAGAAAAGATAAGCCTAGGCAGCCCCAGAATTCCAAGGGAAGGAGGACTCAAGAGGGCCTAACATGGGCTCCTCAGTCTCTCTGAGGCGACAGCCAGGCATCCACACAGAGAGGTCCCAGCCAGGACTGGCCCCCACTGACCAGGGGAGGAATGTCAGAATAGTCACTGTGGCCACCCTGGCTGGGCCTGGTGAAGCAGATGTGTCCACTTCCACCAAGCTCTTCCACTAGAAAAACACAGGTGCCTGATCTTCTTCCATGGGAAATGGGGTACAGATGGCCCTGCCAGGATGTCTGCTGCAGTGACGTAGGAAGGTGGCCCCTGCCCTGGCTCTATGTGCCCAGCCATTCCTCCACTCCCCAGTACTCTCAGGCCTCACCTTGTCCCTCACGTCCTCACTGCATTTGGCCAGGCCAGCTTTCCTCACACATACCAGGCTCGCTACTGCCTCAGTGTCTCTGCACTGCCCGTTCCCTCTGCCGGGAAGTTTTTCCCCTGAAGACCAGCCTGGCTCACTCCCTCACCTCCTTCAAGTCTTTACACAAATGAGAACTGCGCTAACCCCCCTTTAAAATGTTGTTATCCTTGGCATTCCCATTCCCCTTTCCTGTTTTATTTTTCTCCAAATTACTTATTGCCGTGTGACTTACTACATATTTTCCTTGTTTCATTATTTGTTGTTTGTCTCTCGTTTCAGAATTTAAGCTCTCTCAGGGGAAGCATATTAGTCTGTCTCTTCACCATTATACCCCCAGTTGCTCAAGAACTGTTTTTCAGAGAATGAATTAATTTGTAGAGTGAATTAATGAAAGTCTTCACTGGGCTTAATTTTACCCGATACCAACCTGTGTCACCTTTAAGCCCTTGGCCTTTTTGTACTCGATTACCAAAGGAATTTGGTCAATTTCTTCAATATTCCATAGTCTCATGGTCTTATCCTGAAACAAGTTAAACAGCAAACCAGCAGTCAGCAAATAGGCTCATTAGGCTGTGAGGACCTGGGAGGTGTGTTGCATACAGGTTACATGTGTACAACCTCTACCTTCAGAGGAGTAAAGTGAAGGTGGCCAACTGTCCCGGTTTCTCTGGGACCATCCCAGCTCTAGCACTAAAAGTCCCCTGTTCCACAAACGCTTTCCAAGATACAGAAAGTCCCATTCTTCAGCAATGGGTACGGAAGTTTGGGGGAAAAGGACAAAACCTATATTAAAAAAACCAAACCTGTTGCCACTGAGTCGATTCTGACTCACAGCAACTCCACAGGACAGAGCAGAACTGCCCCATAGGGTTTCCAAGGAGTAGCTGGTGGATTCAAACTGCCGACCTTTTGGTTAACAGCTGAGCTATTAACCATTGTGCTATGAGGGCTCCTAAACCTATATCCAAAAATCAAAGCCATTGCCATTGTTTCGAGGGATCTCAAAAATAGGAAGTGAAAGCAAAAGTGGATAGGCATAGATCATTTACCTGTGGTATCTGATATCACTGTCCCATCCACCCCCACCATCACTGATGTTGTCAACTGTGATTTGCAGTTCACAAAAATGGATCATCAATTGTTACATCATGCCGAGTGATGCAACTTAAGTATGCTGTAATCGTGAGAGTTAACAGTCTGTTTTTTTCTTTGCCTGTGGATTAACTGTTGAACTTTGTATCATGATAGTGCTAGTATAATTTTTAACCTTGTGGCAATGGTGATCATATTGTCTAAAAGTTCAGATAATAAAAATGAGATCCATTGCAAGACCAATGCCAGCATGACCCAGACATCACCAAAAAAAGAGCCTGATCACCTGTGCCGAATGATATGGGAAGACATGTAAAACAGATTATTGTTGTTGTTGTTGTTGGTAGGTGCCGTCGAGTTGGCTCCGACTTGTAACAACCTTATGTACTGTACAACAGAAGGAAACATTGGCCAGTCCTGCACCATCTTCATGATCGTTGGTATGTCTGAGTCCATTGGTTTGGCCACTGTGTCAATTCGTCTTACTGACGGCCTCCCTCACCTTCACTGACCCTCCACTTTACCAATCATGATGTCTTTTTCTAGCAATCAGTCTTTCCTGATGTGTCCAAAGTAAGTGAGCTGAAATCTTACCATCTTTTCTAAGGAGCATTCTGATTGTATTTCTTCTAAAACTGATTTGTTCATTCTTCTGGCAGTCCATGGTGTATCCAATATTCTTTACCAACACTACAATTCAAATGTACCCATTTTTCTTCTATCTTCTTTTTTTCCTTATCCAGCTTTTGCATGCATATGAAGCAATTGAAAAAACCATGAGTCAGGCACACTTTAGTCATCAAAGTGACATCTTTGCTTTTTAAAAAACAGAGTAAGGAGGTAAATAACCAGAACAAAGCATACTGAACAACATGCAGAAACGCATTTGTGATTGGGTGTGGTGGAGAAGGAGTCCCTGGGTGGTGTAAATGGTTAACACACACCTCCCAGGTCCTCACAGCCTGAGATTGGCAGGGTGAGCCCACCCAGAGATGCCTTGGAAGAGAGTCCTAGTGATCTACTTTCAAAAAATCAGCCATTGAAAACCCTATGGACCACAGTTGTACTATGAACACATGGGGTTACCATGAGTCGGAATCAACTCCACGACAACTGGTTTTATGGTGGAAAAAGGGATGTGAAAGCACATATGAAGATGGCATCTCACAAGCCTGGGATGAGATGGGCAAGTACTTCTAAATCAATCAAAAGTTTTTTCATCTCTCAAAAAATATACCAATGTGCAAGAAAATGAAATAAAAGGCATCCAAATTGGAAAGGAAGAAGTAAAACTATCTCTATGCAGATAACATAATCTTGTACCTAGAAAATCCTAAGGAATCCACTAAAAAAACTATTAGAACTAATAAACAAGTTCAACAAAGTTGCAGGATACAAAATCAATACACAAAAATCAATTGTATATCTATACACTTGCAATGAATAATCCAGAAATAAAATTAAGGACATCATGGAAGATGGCAGAATAGGAAGCTCCAGGAATCAGTCCCTCCACTGAACAGCTATTGAACGGGCAGAAACTATCTGAATCAACTATTTTAGAACTCTGGAGTCTAGGCAAACATTTGTAATGTCCAGGGGAGAGCTTGATGAAAAGGATGGTGAATTAAGGCATATTTCGAGTTTTGCTTAAGGCTACCATGCTCTATCCCTCAGCCCTATGGCAGAAAGCCACCAGGGATGCCAGCTCATATTCCTGGTGTGGCTTGCTGATGCCAAGGTGGGCAAGAAGGACTTTATCCTCCAAAAACTAGGGTTGTATTTTTTGATTGCGGATTGCTGCTTTTGATTGCTAAGAGGCCGGCACAGTGTTTCACACAGTGTTCCAACTCCCAGGACTAAAGGGACTTCCCGGGCTGCATTTGTTGAGGGGATTTAAAGAGACAGTACTTTTTTCTTTCTTTCTTTCCCGTTTTAGGAAACAGACATTTAAGGAAATCTGTCAGGTCACTGGCTGACTGCAGATATAATGAAACAGAAGCTTCAGTGACCACACACAACAAGAAATATACAACTTGCAAAATTAGTTTGGAAAAGTCACAAACAGATGGCTCTAGCCCTCAACAAGCAAAAATTAGCAACCCCTGAGAAATGGGAAAATTTGATTTCCAGAGTTGCCACATTATACTCAGAATGTCCTGTCCTCAACAAAAAACTATAAAACAGAAAAAGAAATAGGAAAGCATGGCCTTTTCACAGGATAAAAAGAATTTGACAGAAACCATCCCTGAGTAAACCTAGGCATTGGAATTTTTTAATCAAAGATGTTAAGTCAACTGTTTTAAATATTTTCAATGAGAGATGCAATGTTGCTAGTTTTGAAGATAAAGAAAGGGGCCACAAGCCCCTTGTGGATGGTCTCTAGAATATGGATGGTCTCTAGAAGCTAGAAAGGACAAGGAAACAGATTCTTCCCTAGAACCTCCAGAAAGGATTTTAACCCAATGACACCATGCCAGACGTCCATCCTACCGAACTGTAAGATAATGAATTTGTGTAGCTGCTGAAAGTTTCTGGTAATATATAATAGCAGCAATAGAAAATTAATACACTGAGTGATGTTCCACTGCCTGATTCAGTGGTTTTAAGTTAATGTCCTGTGGGGGAACAAAATGAGAAATTTTGATAACAAATGAGTTGGCCCCTTACATTGTAAAGCTGATTCTGTCAGGTTTTACCAACATTCATACTCGCTACAGTATATCAAGTAGTATGTTAAATCATGGCAACAACAACAACAAAATGCTCCCCCTAGCTCTTAGGTACTTTGATTTGAAAACTGGAGTTTCAAATTATCTTCTTGATTTCTATGAAGATTTGAATAAAGCTGCAGAAAATATAAAACAAAAATGTATTGATATCTTATCCAAATACAAACTAGACTTTGTTTATCTATCTACATATTCAGCAGACAGTGAAATGTAAATTTTGACAAACATTATTCAGTATATAAACTTCTTACCAAAGAAAATTTTTTAAATCTTACCTGCTATGTACATAACACTCCTAAAAGGAGGTGTGATTTGATTATATGTGATACTGAATCTTTCATAACAAAGGTTTTTGATCCCTTTTCAGCTTCCACAAAATGTGCAGAAGCACTTAATGTCATTTTTTACTTCACAGAAATGGAAGTAGGTATCTTCCTTAGGCATGTGCCTAAAAGATGGTTATTGTCATTGCTGGTCTTAGAAAAGGTGTTAAAATGTTGGCCTGCCATTAAATCATATTGTAAAGTATAGGACAAGAAGAATGTCCTCTAATTTGGAAATATATTGAGGATGAGAGTGGGAAAAAAGGATTACAGCAAAACAGAAATTTATATACCGTTTCACGATCTTTGAAGAGGCCACAATAAGACTGAAAAAGGATGAACTGACTGGACCTGAGTTGTTTAACATTATGTGTAGGCTGCAACAAAAACTCATACAGTGAAAAATCATAGTTATTCATTTTTGGAAACAAGACTGCTTTAGTACTCAAAAAGAAGAAAAAAGCACCAGAAAAGGGAAGCCAAGTTAAACAGAAGTTTCTCAATTTCTTTACTAAAACTATAACTTACTTGGAATCCAATTTCACAAGTCCAAATTACCTCTGTGCTTTAAAACCATTTTTCCTGAGAAAGAGGTTTAACTTGTAATGACAACCAATGTCTTTTAGAGTGTTTAAAAATGATGGCTATTTTAAACACCTATAGCCCATATGATAAATTTATGGTGGCAAAGGACCTGATTGACAGAACAGCTGGTCTAACAAAACAAACCTGTAAATTAAAAGTGGATAGACATTTCTGGAAAGCTGGAAACTAATTCCTACAAATATAAAAACCTGGTGTTGCTAGTCAGTAAAATCCTAAGTATCCCTCTCAACTTTCATTGAGAGGATAGTGAATTTGATGGCATCACATTGGACTGACACGAGGAATCAGTGTAGCATGGGATTGGTAAGAGCAGAGCTGCAAGACAAAGTGAGTTTTACATTTGACTGCATTCACTTTTACCACTACATAAAAGAAGGATGTCCCAAAGGCTACAGGCAGTTCAGAGAAGTACTACTGGAAAGGGACAGAAAGATACAAGTCATTGTTGATTTTTATAAAATATAAGTAATATCTGTTTAATCAGTCCTATTGTGTTTCTGTTCTCCTTTTTAAAAGTCATGCTTTTATATATCTTAAGAAACACAATAAGAAAAAAAATTAAATATCCAATCAAAGCTTTTTTAAAAAGTCAAAGTAAATTGCTGTAACAGAGGACAGAAAGAAACATTATAAAATATTTTTATACTTTTCTCATACATAAAATTTGCTTAATTAGTCCTATTATTAAAAAAAGAAAGTTTCCATTGAGTCGATTCTGACTCATAGCAACCCTATAGGACAGACAACTGCCCCATAGGGTTTCCAAGGAGCGACTGGTGGATTCGAACTGCTGACATTTTGGTTAGCAGCTGAGCTCTTAACAGTTCTACTATTAAACAGATTAAACAGATATTAATTGCCACTGTTAACTACTGCTATGATTGTTTTGTTTAAATAATAGCACTTATGTAACAGAAAAGTGAAAAACACAGAGTAACATATAATTTCAAATAAACACCTATTTTTCATATTAAAGTAGCAACACATATGCATAGACTTCTTTATTATATGTTATTATGGTGTTTTGTTTGGTACGGCTGTGTTCCTAAACATGTGATTCTCCTAAACAGAAAATATTGAAGTTGTCAAGGATTTATTTTACCTGGATCCACAATCAACACCTATGGAAGCAGAAGTCAAGAAATTAAATGACATATTGCATTGGGCAAATTTGCTGCAAAAGACCTCTTTAAAATGTTAAAAAGCAAAGATGTCACTTTGAGGACTAAGGTGCGCCGGACCCAAGCTATGGTGTTTTCAGTCACCTCATAAGCATGTAAAAGCTGGACAATGAATAAGGAAGACCAAAGAAGAACTGATGCATTTGAATTATGGTGTTGGCGAAGAATATTGAATATACCATGGACTACCAGAAGAATGAACAAATCTGTCTTGGGTCTTGGAAGAAGTACATCCAGAATGCTCCTTAGAAGTGAGGATGGAGAGACTTCATCTCTCATACTTTGGACATGTTATCAGGAGGGACCAGTCCCTGGAGAAGGATATCATGCTTGGTAAAGTAGATGGTCAGCAAAAAAGAGGAAGACCCTCAACAAGATGGGTTGACACAGTGGCTGCAACAATGGGCTCAAACATAGCCAACGACTATGAAGATGGTGCAGGACAGGACAGTGTTTCATTCTGTTGTACATAGGGTTGCATGAGTCAGAACCCACTCAGTGGCACCTAACAACAACAACAAAGGCTGTGTTCCAAGTTGGCTCTCTAAAAAGTTGGTCACACTAGACAGAGTCATGTCCACAATCTCACAGGCCTAGAAACCCCCAATCTAGAGAAGGACATGGCCCTAGTAAAGGTGGAAAAGGTAGGATCCCACTTCCCTGGTGCTCACACTTGGAGGACAGCCCTCAGGATATCCTGGGGCAGCCTTTATGTGCTATTGAGACAGAATCCTAAGATGCAGTGATATAAGGAAGGAAGCCCCACTTGGAACTTCGGGGTGCTCTCTGCTGCTTGTCCATGAGCTAATACCTTCCCTCCAAGGCCCTTTGTTGGCTCCATCCCTTACCAGTCTGGCCAGGCCCTCGTTCCCACCAAACTCAAATATCAGTGATGCAGACGCAGAAATCTCTGGCAAGTCCTCACAGGAGGAGATGGAAGGACCTGCTCTTCACGTTCCCAGAAAGTTCCCTGGAAGGGGATGGCCTGGCCAGGTGTGAGCCTCAGACGAAGCCTGGCCAGAAATTTTACTTGGCAATAACACGTCTGTTACCACCAATTCTGAAAAATGCAATAGAGCTTTTAAGTCACTCAACAGTTGGCCACTGTTACCTTTGAAGCAGACAGGATCCATTTCTTGTTGTTGCTAATGGCAACATCCATCACCCAATCACTATGGCCCTGAAGAAAAATAAAATTGTAACAAGGACCTAGATAAATTTTTTTTTAAAAAAATGCCTTTATAACTACAACAAAAACAAAACACAACAAAAGTCAGGAACCCAATGTTGCTTGCATTTAAGTAAGCCCGATTAATTGTGCCCCCTGGTTCCATCAACATTTCAGGTGGAATACAAAGCATAAAGGCTTGTGATTCATGTGTATATCATGGCAATGTACGTGTTTTTAAAAATAGTACTGAGATGTTCAGTAGGACAGGAAAAAAAAAGAAAGATTATATCCCCAGCTGGTCCCAGTGCATCTCTTGCAGCAGGAACATTCTTTGCTCAGGAAATACCACTCATAGGAATGAGGGGGCTTTGGCTGCAAGTAACTGCAAACTCATCCACTGTAGCTTAAGGAAATTGCCCCCCCACCCTGCCCCAGGTAAAAAGGAGCTCAGAGGAGATAGATGCTCATGCTGGTTCAGACACTTAATGATGTCAGGGCTCTGCATCAGCATCCTTGTCATTCTTTTGGCCTTTCCCCTACGGAAAGAGATGGAAGGTGGGTCAACTTGGCATGGCAGGAGGTAAGGGAGCAAGAGAGGTTAAGCTGCTCTAATTAAGGAAAAAAACAAGAATTTGAGGGTAGAAGAACAGAGAGAGAGAGAAGAAAATAGAAGAGGAAATAGGACAACCGGACAGAGGTACGAATTGACTTTTAAACACAGAGAGTTTTAAACAGTTTTTACTTTGCTGTGATATAAACTCCCTTCACCTTCCCAAACTGTAGGGAAAGATGGCTCAGACAATCTGGACCCCAGGGGCCTGAACTTTGTGGCACCCAAGGGGACACACTCTACATTTGGGCCAAGGGGGACAGAGAGACGAAGAGTCCTGCATGCAAGAATTCAGAGTCAGAGATGACCATGAGCTGGCAAGACCCAGGACTATGCAGAAATCTTGAGTGGGGGGCGGGGGAACCTGGAACAGAGGCCACTGAATTAGCCAGTCGTGTGACTGCCTAACCTCTGGGTTCTTGCTGTGTTAGATAATCCATCCCCTTATTATAGACTAGAGCCACTGAGTTGAGCCTCCTCTAACTTGCAGCCAAAAGCACCCTGATGATGGCCCCATTTTGGAGCCCAACATCTTTCTGCACATCACTCATTAGGGCATTTTTCCCTTTGGTAATTTCTGCTGTTCTGGAATGTTTTCCCACCTCTGGAGCTTGGCATTTGATGTTCCATCTATGTGAAATTCCGTTCCCCAAGATCTTCATACATCCAGTTCCTCCTTGCCACCCAGTTCTCAGCTCAAATGCTACCCTCTCTGAGAGGCCTACTCTAGATTCGCCCCTGGAGTCTACTTCTATCATGACGCCCTGTGGGTTTCTCTATTTCACTCATCATTGTTGATGATAAATTTGCTGGTTTCCTGTCTGTCCTTCCCCTACAGAGGTGTTGGCTCCATTAGGGGGCATCTCAGTCTGTCTCACCCACCACTGTATCCCCAGCACCTAGCACCTAGCACCCAGAACGGAATGACTACAGAACGATGCTCAATGCTGCACCCATCCTCCATCTGACCCACTCCTACCTTCAAGGAGAACTTCCGGCAGCCTTCTCCTACATCCCAAATAGCCACAGTCTTGTCGAAACCTCCAGACACAAGGAAAGAGGCTGCAACACAAAATGAGAATCTTAGGGAGGGGGTCATCTTCCGCACCCAAGTGCTTCCTCCTCTGGTGAAGCCGAGGTGGGCTGAGGATGCATTTGTAAGGCGCCCCTGTGACTCAGTCTGAGGATGCTGAAGCTCCTTCCTGGTGTGGCTTATTGGCCCCCAACCAGTTCTGTGTCTCTGAACCCAATAAAGCTGAGGAGAAGCTGGTGGGGTGCCCCATGGTGGGCTTCTGAGGCTGGCACGAACATTGGATGCTTTTGATGAGGAAAAGTTGTTCTGAAACGTCCTGGCATTTCTCAAGATTCGCCCTGATTGTGTGAGCACTGGCCAGAGGACCGTCTCCTCCATGGATACACAGAGCAAGCCCCACCCCTCACGGGGAAAGAGGAGCATAACATTTGGCTCCTGGGTGTTAGGAACAGTCACTGCTTTCACTGGGGCTCGCCACCCATGGCAGCTACCCATCATTGTCCCTGCTCACAGCCATACCCTTTCATTTGGCAACAGCTCCCCAGGTTTCCTGTGGGGAACTACCCTTCGCCTACACTCAGTCCCTCTGCTTCAGAGGAGATTGACCCTGACCCCTAGTTCTGGAGGTAGGCATGTCACCCAGACCTGGCCAATCAGAGCCCTTAATCTTCCACTAAAGTGATTGGATCAGAGACAGGCGTGTGTCCCAAGTTGAGCCAATGGGGGTTTTCCCCAGGAATTGTGCTGGCACCATCTGAAGGGGGTCTGTCTTTCTCCAGGACCAGTTTGGCCAGGCCCACTGGGGCTACCTTTGTCTCCTTGAAGGGAGAGGCCAATACAAGAGGGAAGCTGAGCTGAGAGACAGAGTAAAGAGTTGGGTTTCTGACTGTGTTTGAGTATATAGAACCAACCACGCCTAAAGTCAGACCTCCTTCTGGACTTTTCCATAATTAAAAAAATAAAAGACTCGGTGCCGTGGAGACGAGACCCTATAGGACAGAGTAGAACTGCCCCATAGGGTTTCCAAGGAGCAGCTGGTGGATTTGAACTGCTGACCTTTTGGTTAGCAGCCAAGCTCTTAACCACTGTGCCACCAGGGCCCCTTTCCATTATAGGAGCTAATAAATTCATTTTGTTGCTTAAGCCACATTGAGTTGAGTTTCTGTTACTTATAACCATGTGCCTATGGATCTCCCTCTTGACTTTTTTGTTCTCGTGGAAAATAATCCATGTTCCTTGGTGGCATCGTTGGAAATCTCCTCTCTGTGTTGTACTAAGGGAAGTCCATATGAACATGAGAAGCTCTGCCCCGGCATTCCCACACTTACAGGAGCCTTCTACCTGTCAGTTACTCACCATCTCTGGCAAAATGACAGGAGCTTACGGACCCTTCGTGGCCCTGCATCAGAGTCACACAGGCTCCATGGTTTCGAAACTCCCCTGTATGGACGTCCCATATTTTTAAAGTTTTATCCCAAGAGCTTGTACACAGAAAATGGCCGCTGAAGGTGAAACAGCAGTTTGAGATTGAGTTGGTATGTGCCCTGAAACACAGATGGAAGGGGTGCACACATTGATGCCTCACTCCTGGAGGATCGGAGGGCATTCAGGGAGCGGGGAGAGGCAGGTACTGGGTCTGATCTCACTTGACCCGATAGACAGTGTTCCTTTCATAACTGTCTTCTATGGCCCAGATATTAATTACATCTGTCTCCCACTATTCCAGGGTTTCTCAACCTTAGTGATTTTGATATTTTCTGCTGGATAAGTCTTTGCTGGGGGGCGCTGTCCTGTGCATTGTAGGATGTTAAGCAGCATCCCTGGCCTCTACCCGCTAGACACCAGTAGTGTACACCCCCTTTGCTGTTGTCATGGTGCTGTGTCGTCGAGCAGATTCCGACGCATAGCGCCCCCGTTCGTGACAACCAAAAACGTCTCCAGACATTACTAAATGCCCACTAGCGGGCAAAATTGCCCCCCGTTGAAAACCATTGCATTGTGGTTTGAAGAAAAAGAGCAGCTAAAAAAGCCGTCAGTGGCAGCTGACGGACTAGCCAGCCTTTTCGGGTTTGGACCTGGAAAGCACTTACAGAGTGGTTCTCTCCTGTTCATGGCAAACAGACAGAAACTTACAAATTCCAGAAACTGAGTGAACCCCAAATAGGATAAACTCAAAGAAATCCACACCAAGACACAGCACAATTAAACCACTGACAAATACAGACAAAAACCAAATCTTGAAAGCAGCCAGAGAGAAATGGTGCTCTACACGTAGGAGATAAAGAATTTAAATGACAATGAATTTCTCATCAGAAACCGTGGAGCACAGCTACCGCAGCCTCCACCAGACCGAGTCCAGAAGAACTAGATGGTGCCCGGCTACCGCCACTGACTGCTCTGACCGGGATCACAACAGAGGGTCCTGGACAGAGCTGGAGAAAAATGGAGAACAAAATTCTAACTCACAAAAAAAGACCAGACTTACTGGCCTGACACAGACTGGAGAAACCCCGAGAGTATGGCCCCTGGACACC